GTGTATATATATATATATATATATATATATATATATGTATATATGTATATATATATATATATAAACTGTGATAGATTTGAGTTCAGAAGTTTTAGTATTCTTGGATGAAATTAAATGTATAATTTTTTGTTAATTAAATGCAATTTTTTTTGCATTATACATTAATTTATTTTCACTTTTTTATTTTCATTATTTAATGTGTGCTCTATTAATAGAAGTAAATACACTTTTATTTGTATGTATGAATGCTAATACATTAGAAATATGAAGCTATTTTTAACACTGACAGTAATAATAATAAAAATATTTATTATTTACACTGAAGACTGGAGTAACGATGCTAAGAATCACAGGAATAAATTATGTTTTAATTCACATTAAAAATTAATGGGTTAAATAAAGAATTGTAATAATTTTTACAGTATTTTTAATTAAATAAATGCAGCCTTTGTGAGTAGAATAAACCTATTTTTTAATGCAAAAATAAATCTTACTGATCCAAACCTTTTGACCTTTAGTGTTATTTATTATTGGTGTATTTATTATTGTTTGCAGTGTATATATATTTCAGAATAAACAGTTGATGGCAGAATTATTAGCCCCCCTGAATTATTAGACCCCCTGTTTATTTTTTCCCTAATTTCTGTTTAACGGAGAGCAGATTTTTTCAACACATTTCTTATCGTAATGGTTTTAATAATTCATCTCTAATAACTGATTTATTTTATCTTTGCCATGATGACAGTAGATAATATTTGACTAGATATTTTTCAAGACACTTCTATACAGCTTAAAGTGACATTTAAAGGCTTAACTAGGTTAATTAAGCTAACTAGGCAGGATAGTTTAATTAGGCAAGTTATTGTATAACAATGGTTAATTGTATGGATAAAAAATATAGCTAAAAGCGGCTAATAATTTTGTCCTCAAAATGGTGTTTAAAAAATTAAAAACTGATTTTATTCTAGCCGAAATAAAACAAATAAGACTTTCTCTGGAAGAAAAAATATTATCAGACATACTGTTAACATTTCCATGCTCTGTTCTGTCTGACTTCAACTGTATATATTAGTCAACAAGTAAATAAATGTAGTTATTAAAAATGAAGACAAAAAAAACTCTGGTTTTAGGACAATTTTAATCCACTTTAAATGTTGACTACTGTATATATTATTTCATTTTTACTGTCGTTTTAGGCTTAAAATATATTATAACATCCTGCATAGCAATTTTTCCATTTTGTTTTTCAGTATTCTGCAACTTCAGTCCAATCTGCACAACATGCGAGTGAGTCTGACAACATCATTTGAATCATTTCTGACTAATAAGTCATTTTCTGGCAACTTTTAACAAACTTTCTATCATGTTCTTTCCATTTGTAGGACTGCCTTCAAAATGCCTCTGCCTCAGATGGCTAAAACCAAGAAGAAAAAGCTGAAAACTGCAAACTGATTCGTCTGTCGTGTCACTCAATGTGCTTTAATTATCTCACATTAATGTCTTTTTGAACAGCATACCCTTATAATTTAATATTTGGTTATAACTTGTGTATATTTGAACACCCTTTTCTAATGTAGCCTTCGCTTTAAATAAAAGACAGTTTTACATAAAAACAAAACAAGAAGCCTGTGCACTTTACATGAACATTTCTAGAATGCCTTGTTGATGTCGGAGGAGAATGGCCAGACTGGTTCCAGCTGATAGAAAGGCAACGGTAACTCAACTGGGGTGGGTTCGAAAGACCCACGCCACACTGATAATGGTCCAGAATTTGTCCCATACATTAGCTCATTTTGTCCTATTTCTACTGCTATGCCATCATAAATAGTGAAAATAGCCCATTGAAAAAGGTCCAAGTCCAAACGGAATCCTGGTGTGACTTCAGTTCATCAGTTTTGGCCAATGCAAACAAATTATTTTTCATGAGTCCAAAATCCAGCTGTGCATAAAAACATCTGACTTAAGAGAGGTCATCTTTCACTACTGTGGTGTTTCTATTGAGAAAACATTTGACAAGTAACTTTTATTCTATAAATCTTGGACCTTATTCTGGAAGGAAAACACGACCTATAAAAAAGTGTGAAGCACTTTTACAGGAGAGGCTAGAAACATTGTGAAGCTCTAAATTATTATTATTATTATTATTAAGTTTCAGCTTTTTATTATTCAAATGGCCAAATTCTGACTGAGGAAAGTCAAGTGTGCTCTGCCAGTTTGTTATTTGCTTAATAAATTACATTAGGCTACAGTTTTTAATTTAAAACTTTTTTCTAATGATATATGATGAAATACATTTCTATTTTAAAAACAAATATTTGTCATATTTATTCTCTATATTTTTTCAATAGTATCTGGATGCAGAAGCTGAGACTGCAATGTCAGACTCAATGGAGTGAGTGACGTCATTGTGACGGGTGGGGTTAGGTGAGCACATTAAATACCATTGGATGCAGCTCAGATTGCACTGCACCAAGTCTGCAGCCAGACCCTTCATATTTTTGGTGCATCAAAAAGTGTGGTTAAGATGACCATTCAACTAGCTAATTAATTCGATAAATTAATCTAATAATAGTGCTCAAAATGTCACATATTTAGTATTTAATTCTCATAATTAAGCAGACATTGAGGCGAATAAATGCAAAAAGGTCTACTTTTTGAGAAAAAACACCACCCTTTACACCAAGCTGGCTACAGACCTGCATATGAGTGGCCTCGACACACACAAAAAATCTGCTTCAGTCAGTAGAGAATGGGTGTGAATTGGCCCAGTTAAAACTACTCCCCCAGCATCCCTGCAGAAAAGGTCTCGGCGGAAGTTCTCCGCTTAAGTGACCCACACGGGGCAGACCGCGTTTCTGTGCACACGTGTATCGTCCAGTTGCGTCTCGCGTATTCTCCGATCTGCATCGCAAACTCTACGCCAACGAGGGACTTCTTCAAAGCATCAGAGAAACTCGCACGACAAGAGAAACTCGGGTAAACTGTGCTCCTTTTCCAGAAAGGTGTTTGTGGTCTTGGTGGTTCTTAATAGTTGTGCGGAGCTGAGTGAGATTTGCCAATAATTTATCTAAATTCCTTTATTTCCTCGCTTTCTTTCTTTTCTCTGTTTTTGTTGTGATGTTTTGTTCGTTTCTCTGTTTTATGTTAGATTAGTCAATAAACCCCCCTATTGTCTTTGTTTTGCATCACAGAAAAGGTCACTTTATAGAAGCGCGTTCCCGCCACTGATTGTAATTTTTTTTACATTGTATTATTTTTTAAGTCAGAATTGCGAGTGACAAAGTCTGAATCGCATGTTAATAAGTCAGAATTCCGAGTTATTAAGTGTCGATTAGGAGTATTAAGTCAGACTTGCAAGTTAAGTCAGAACTGTTAGCTATAAAGTCAGAATTCTGGGTTATTAAGTCAGAATTTTGAGTTATAAAGTCTGTATCACGAGTTATTAAGTCAGACTTGCAAGTTAAGCCAGAATTGCAAATTATGTCAAAATTTTGAGTTATAAAGTAAGAATTCTGAGTTAAAGATTCAGAAATGCGAGTTAGGTCAGACTTGCAAGTTAAGTCAGAATTGCGAGTTATTAAGTCAGAATTTTGAGTTATAAAGTGAGATGTAAGTTAATAAGTCAGAATTGCGAGTTATCAAGTCAGAATTCTGGGTTATTGAGTCAGAATTGCGAGTTAGGTAAGAATTCTGAGTTATAGATTCAGAATTGCAAGTTATTAAGTCAGAATTCTGGGTTTTTAAGTCAGAGTTGCGAGTTAAATCAGAATTCCGAGTTATAAAGTCTGAATTGCAAGTTATAATGTCGCAATTCTGAGTTAAGTCAGAATTCTGAGTTATTAAGTTGCGATTAGGAGTTATTAAGTCAGAATTGCGAGTTATTAAGTCAGAATTCTGGGTTTTTAAGTCACAATTGCAAGTTATTAAGTCAGAATTCTGGGTTTTTAAGTCACAATTGCAAGTTATTAAGTCAGAATTCTGGGTTTTTAAGTCACAATTGCAAGTTATTAAGTCAGAATTCTGGGTTTTTAAGTCACAATTGCAAGTTATTAAGTCAGAATTCTGGATTTTTAAGTCAGAGTTGTGAGTTAAATCAGAATTCCGAGTTATAAAGTCTGAATTGCAAGTTATAATGTCCCAATTCTAAGTTAAGTCAGAATTCTGAGTTATTAAGTTGCGATTTGGAGTTATTAAGTCAGAATTGCGGGTTAATAAGTCAGAATTATGAGTTATTAAGTCAGAATTCTGGGTTTTTAAGTCTGAATTGCAAGTTATTAATTCAGAATTCTGTGTTTTTAAGTCAGAATTGCGAGTTATTAAGTCAGAATTCTGGATTTTTAAGTCAGAGTTGCGAGTTAAATCAGAATTCCGAGTTACAAAGTCTGAATTGCAAGTTAATAAGTCAGAATTTTGAGTTATGAAGTTTATAGTCCGCTCAGACGAGCAGGCAAAGTGTTATATTTACGTTGTTAAATTAACTAGAAGTTAATTCTGAATATTTATAATTAATAATAACTTGTTATGATTTATGGTTAATATTCACTTAATCAAACACATGCAGAATTTTAATTAGATTATCTCTTACAGCTGTATTTTCTGATGTTCAGTAGTAAATTAAAGGGGTAGTTTACCCCAAAAAATAAAATAGTCATCATTTACTTGTTCAGAACCTGCATGGCTTTCTTTCCTGTTAAACAAAAGGTTATTTTAAAGACAGTAAGTAAGTCTTTAGTTTATATGTAAGTCAGTGGTTAACGTTTTCAGCTTTTTTCAAAATATCTTTTGTGTTCAACAGAATAAGAAAACTCAAAGGTTTATAACCACTTGAGTGTGAGTAAATGTTGAATTTTGAGGTGAACTGTCACTTTAAGCTAACATTTTTTTTTCTCTCTTCCTCTCTGAGAATCGCACACATTATATGTCCAATATGAGCCATTTAGCCTCAAAGCAACAGCTCATTCTCTCTCTCTCTCTCTGTGTGTGTGTGTGTGTGTTTTTTAGATGAACCACTCCCACACACCTAGTCAGACTGGAAAGATCCGACTGCATCTCTTGACTTCTCGCCTTTATTCTTCATATTTTGGGTCTGTTTCAGATTTAAACGGGTATGTTGCCTTCCTTCTTTTATAACTCCGTCTACTACTCAGTAGGTACTGCATTTGAAGTTAAAAGTACTACTCGGCCGTTAGAAAAGTACGTTCTATACAGTATAAATGTGAACAGTATGCACACCCGAGTTCACAAGACAACGTTCACACTAGCTAAACGTACCATACTATGACGTCAAACGAACCCGGGTGCGGACTGAAAGTGCTCGTGTGAAAGCACCCTTTTATATCATTTTGACTAAGGTCTACCTTTGAACAATGAAAGAGTACTGCTGATAATACAAACTAACTTTGCCATCTGAATAAACAAGCAAAGACACTGATCGCTAACTTGCCAAATGTGTAGCGACAGGACAATCAACACCAACTGGAGTCGTGTCTTTTGAAAGGGCCATGAAACCCCCTCGTTTCAGCAGGGTGTTTTCACACCTCTACTTTGGAAAAAGTCAGAAAAGTGGGCGTGTCCAGCTCTGTTTAGGGGGGAGTGTCGGAGGAAGAAAAGTGGGATGGTGTGGGAGTGTCTATTTGGGCACGCACGAGTTTCAGAGTCAAAACGCACACACACAGCGGACAATGTGACTGTGTTTACATGGACATCTGTAGTCGAAGTATTTGCCAAATTATTAGATGGTGGACTTTAACTGCAGTTTGGCTCTTTCATTTAGGGAATTCATTCATGCCCCTCGCGACAAACGAGATATTTGATTCGAGGATCTGCTCTAAGCGTGTATTTTTCATGCAGTGTTTGATACCGCACGGCGAATGAGAGAGAAAAAAAACTCAGCATTTCCCGGAAACTTAGATGCACTCGGCAGGTAGCGTCAGAAAGCCGCGTGTGTTATTCCGGTCACAAATCCAACACGAGTTTATAGTTTGGTTGTAACTGTTAGTGCTAACTTGTTTACACTCGGTGCAATAGTTTGTTTGATACGAATAAAATACGAACTGAATAAACAAAGAGCACTGGTCGCTCACTTACCAAATCTGTAGAGACAGGACAATCACCAGCAACTAGAGCTGCGTCTTTATTAAGAGGAGACTACAAGCGAATCCGGATCTCAGCGTTTGCAGATGAGAACAGCTCTCAGGTAAACAATAATCCTCCTTAGACACGTAAGTTATTGTTGTCGAGCGTCGCGTACACTGTTGATCCACACGTGACTCCAGCTGAGCTCTCACAGAGAGAAAATGAATACAAAACTTAACTGCAGCAAACTATAAAAGCAACACTTCAAGCTTGTTTTGCCAACACAACGTGGCGTCTCTGTCGTGTAAACACTGTGACAGTAATGAATATTAATGAAGTTGCACAATAGAGCGCGCTGATTGGTTTGAACCAAGCCTTACTCATGCATTAATGCATCACACTGTAAGACGTAATAAGACACACTCTGGCACAGACGCCCAGTCTGCACGCTGGAATACACGCTATTATGTCATGACCGTGACGCAGCTTCAAAAATTCGCTTCAAACTGGAAGTACGAATTTGCTTGAAATAATGCAAAAATAACTAATTTACACTTTTTAGTGAAATATAGGTGTCCTAATAGTGTTTTTAGCAGTGTGGGACACATATACGACTGTCAACAGCTCAAAACATGCGTTTTGGTGTTTCGTGACCCTTTAAAAAGGAGACGAGCAGCAAATAGGGATTTCACCATTTTCCAGATAACAGGTCTTCGAATCCATCATGCATATTAATGAAGTTGCACTGCGTACACAATAGAGCGTGCTGATTGGTTTGAAACCAGTCTTGCTCATGAATTAATGCTGCACACTCAGAGACATCACTGCTTTCACAGGTACAGACATTCAGTCTACACACTGGAATACATGACAAGATCCTAATAGTGTTTATAGCAGTGTGGGACACATACGACTGCCAACAGCTCAAAACATGTGGTTTGGTGTTTCGGGACCCATTAACAGTGCCCGAGATCAGGCAATTGACCTACTGATCAGACTGATAAACAATTTAGAGACATAAATACCATGAAAATATGCAGTTTTCTTACTTTTACTTTAGGTCTGATGGAGGAGACACTCCGTCATGTCAAAACAAGAGGGAAAATTGGCTCACTGAAGGGAAAAGACGAAACATGTTTGACCTGCACTCAGTGTGGAAAGAGTCTGAGATGCCAAAAGAGTCTCAGGAATCACATGATGATCCACACTGGAGAGAAACCGTTCACATGTGCTCAGTGCGGGACGAGTTTCAGACATTCATCAAATCATAATAAACACATGTTGATCCACACTGGAGAGAAAACACACAAATGTGATCAATGCGGCAAAACATTTTTAAGGGCTTTATATCTAAAGAGCCATCTTAGAGTTCACACAAAGGAGAAACCTTATTCATGTTCATTGTGTGAAAAGAGATTTAGAGATCAGTCAGATTTAGATACGCATCAGAAGATCCACACTGGTGTGAGAGAGCATGTGTGCTTTGAGTGTGAGAAGACTTTTATTAGAGCTGGAGATCTGAAACTGCACCAGAGGATTCACACTGGAGAGAAACCGTACACATGCGTTCAGTGCGGGACGAGTTTTATACGTTCATCACACCTTAATGAACACATGTTTATCCACACTGGAGAGAAAACACACAAATGTGATCAATGCGGCAAAACATTTTTAAGAGCTTCAGATCAGAAGGTCCATCTTAGAGTTCACACAAAGGAGAAACCTTATTCATGTTCATTGTGTGGAAAGAGATTTAGACATCAGTCAACTTTAAAAACACATCAGAAGATCCACACTGGTGTGAGAGAGTTTATGTGCTTTGAGTGTGAGAAGACTTTTGTTACAGCTGGAGGACTGAAACGGCACCAGATGATTCACACTGGAGAGAAACCGTACATGTGTTCACACTGCGACAAGAGATTCAGTCGGTCGCAAAGCCTGAAAAAACATCAGAGGATCCACACTTAAGAGAAACCTTACAGATGTTATCAATGTCTTAAAAGTTTCACAAAATCGCCTCAGTTTAAGAAACACATGAAAATCCACTCTAAAAAGAAGCCCAAGTAACATGCATAGTAAAGCGTTCACTTTTGTTGAAAGTGTTTTATATCTAATCATCAGAAAACACCAGAGAAGAAAACAGAATGTCAAGAAATAAACCAATGTTTATTTGTTTTTCATGCAGTTTCATGCATATCGCATATTTGGTTTGACTTTAAAACAGCATTCAATCGACTGAACACTGTTATACTTTGATTATTGTTCGATTCAGAATTTGCAAATAATACTTTTCCAAGATTATATTATTAAGCAGAGTGTCAGAATGTGCGAAAATACTTTACCTCAGTGCACAATCGTGTATAAAAAGAAAATCAAACACAGCCAATTCAAAAACGCCACTTTAGAGCTAGTATTTGAAGGATTCCCTTGCATAATGTGGAGTATTATCATGTCTTAGTGATGAAAAAACAGCTCACACATCAAGATTTATAAAGCTGAATAAACAGTCCTTCATTTCTCTGCTGCATCTGTGTATTTACTTACGTTATATTAACCCAATAAAAGCTTAACCAAAGCAAACACTAACCAGATTACATTACAGACATCAATATAAAAGAGAGAATTCGCCTTAGATGTGGCTTTAACTCACCTGTTCTGTAGTGAATTGTTGTTTTCATGTCCGTTGAGGGAAATTGTTCGGTTAAAAACAAAAACGCTCGTCTCAATTCACATAATTATGAACTATTCTGTGCCATTTTGGACTATAAATTATCAGTAGATCATATTTCACACAAAAATAAAAGCACTAACATGATTAAGAGCACTTTAAATAGCCGAATAACACACTTATTTATTCAACCGTTAAATAATAAGGGTGTAATTTTGAACACTTCATTCACTTAACGGTCGGTTTTGCTTACGTCACGTCGAAGGGGCGGAGCTATCAGACGCTGATGTTGGATTACTTCATTATTTTATTGTGAACGCAAAATTCACCCACATAAGGGATTATGGCGCCACCCGATGGTAAATGCGGGTGTACTCATGAAAAAAGCTGAAAAACGGAGACTGAGAATGAGAGAAGAACTCTTAAAGAGAAAATGGATAGAGGATATCAGGATTTTACAATAAAAGGTTTATTAAAAGATGGTTTATAATTAGGGAGACAAATAAAGGCAATTATAAGATTCATTTGGAATAACGAATTATACATTAGAATTTAGGAAACCAGATCAGCGTCTTCACACTCCATCACAGTAGGGGGCGATATGCACCCCGGTTCGCAACTCGACATAAAACGAAGAAGAAGAAGACGTTTAAAGTTTGCGTCTATATCCTCCGATCTGCATCGCAAACTCCACACCAACGAAATGACTTTTTGAAAGCCTTCATCTTCCAAGCATCTGAGAAACTCCCACAACAAGAAAGAGAGAGAGAAATTAAACTCAGGTATGTTGTCTTGCGTTATGCTGCTTTTCCAGAAAGGTGTTTATAGTCTTGGTGCTTCTTAATAGTGCAGAGCTGAGTGAGATTTGCCATCATTTTATATAAAATCCTTTATTTCCTCGCTTTCTTCCTTTTCTCTGTTTTTGTTGTGATGTTTTGTACGTTTCTCTGTTTTATTTTTGATTACTCAGTAAATCCCCCTATATAATCACGCTGATTGTCTTTGTTTTGCACAGAAAATGTCATTTTATAGAAGCCAGTTTCCGCCACTGATTAAAAAAATTATAATAAATAAAATCTAAAAAAAATTATTTCAGAAATGCCAGTTATAAAGTCTCAATTATGACTTAATAACTCGCAATTCTGACGTCTAAACTATCTACATCACAAGAAGTAGTTATAATTCCTTTTCTAAACAAATAATTACGCTCAGACGAGCAGGTGAAGTCATTGTCATATTTATTTATTTTGTTAAATTAACTGCAAGTTAATCCTGAATATTCATAATTAATAAAAACTTGTTATTATTATTAATCGTTAATAAAAAAACGCTAATTTCGCTACACTTAATATATAACAATTATAAATTATTACAGTGTTTTAGACATTTTGTAATTAGCTTTGTGACCTATTAGCGTACTAGCAATGCTTTCTGGAGTAAAATGTGTAATACTTGAATTTTGCAGATGCCAATTTCATAAACAGTTCATGTCGTTTTGTGTGATGGTAAAATTCACCGTACACAGATTCAGCAATATTTTATAGCTTCATTTCTCTGCTTGGGAAAACATTGCTGATAAATCAATCACATGCAGAATTTCAATGATCTCTTACAGCAGTATTTTCTGATGTTTACTAATAATAAAGGGGTAGTTCACTCAAAAAATTGTAATTGTCATCATTTACTTCCAAAACCTGCATGGCTTTTTTCCTGTTAAACACAAAGAGGATATTTTAAAGACAGTAAGGTTTGTATCCAAGTCAGTGGTTACAGGTTTCCAGCTTTCTTTAAAATATCATCTTTTGTGTTCAACAGAATAAAACAAACTCATAAAGGCTCATACCAGCTTGAGTAAATGTTGAATTTTGGGCTGAACTGTCCCTTTAAGCTGAAGATTGTCTGAAATTTTCTCTCCCTCTGGGTTTGTACCCCCCTTATGTGCCATTTAACTTCGAAGCAACAATTCATTCTGTATGTGTGTGTGTGTGTTTTTTTGTGTTTGTGTGTGTGTGTGTGTGTGTGTGTTCATGTTTTAAGATGAACAACTCACACACACCAGGTCAGACTGGAAAGATCCGACTGCATCTCTTGACTTCTCGCCTTTATTCTTCATATTTTGGGTCTGTTTCAGAGTTAAACAGGTATGTTGCTTTCCTTCATTATTAGCTCATACTCCTGCTGTCTCTATTCAAGTGTATTTTCATTTTCTGTGTTGTGTGTCATATTTTAGTTAGCAGCATATTCCTTTTCAAGTTAGTAGGCAAATAATTTTATCAGGTGACCTTTAATAAATAAGGGAATAAGCTGAAGGAAAATGAATGAAGGTTTAGGAAAATCTAGTCATTTATAATTATTTATTGGTTGAAATGTTACCGCTAAATGAAAGAAACTATTTAGCTCTGATGTTCTCACAGAGTTTCTCTGTTAATCACTGAAGTAGTTATTTTGAAAAATGTTGTAAACCTGTAACCACTGACTTCAACAGTATTTGTTTTTCCCACTGACTGTAAGTCAATGGTTACCGCTTTCTAACATTTTTCAAAATAACCCCTTTTGTGTTCAGCAGAAAAAAGAAACTCAAAGTTGGGAACAGTTTTAGAGTGAGTAAATAGTGAGCGCATTTTCATTTATTTTACTCTCCCTTTAACTTTGGATGTCGCTTAGACATTTGCAAACATACTTTCATTCATGTCTTTATTTATTTTATTTTCAGCTTAGTCCCTTTATTTATCAGGGGTCGCCACAGTGGAATGAACCGCCCATTTACAAACATACTTTAGTATTTTTGTTGCTTAGTAGTAGTGATGTTATTCATTATCTCTCTCATAGCCATATAGTCAAAATAAGATCATCATCTGATTATAACTTTTAGTTTTGTGGACTTGCAAAGCTCGCTGCGTGCCGACAAGCTGCATAAAAGTTACTCCGGTTGCACATAGAGAATAACAAACTTGCGCATGCAAAATACGGCAAATGTGAATGGCCTCTAACGTCTTTATTCGGGGATTACTACTTTAATGTACTTGCATAAAGTAAATAGTATCTCAAGGCTTTTACTGGGACTCGTTTTTTTTTTTTTTTGCACCGTCTCCCTGTGCCACCCCCCAGCAAGATGCCACCCTGGGCATCGACCATATTGCCCATGCAAATACGCCACTGCTCACACTTCTTTAAATGTTTGTTGTTAACCAATATTGATGGTGAATTTAAATAACCCAACAGCGTTGATTTATTCGTTTTCGGAATCCTGACATAGTTTTATCAGCACTATTTTAACAGGGCTTTAAATAAAATATATATATATATATAATTAAAATTTTTAAATTGAGTGTTACTTAATCGCCACTGTGATGCACAATCTAGGGATGGGCCGATAGACGATGCCATTGTCTATCATCGATGGCCAATAGATAACACGATGCTGAGCCGGCATCGACGATCCTCTGCCCCGCCCCCTTCGCAAACCCGCTCGCAAAGAATACAAACTCAGGCCCCGTTTATACTAGAACGTCTTACTGTAAAAATGGCATTTTAGAACAAAAATGCTCCACATCCACACCATGTTTTACCTAGCATTTCTAAACAACCCTCCGTCTGCTTAAAACGCACATCATGTGACCACACCACACATAGCCACACGCTGTCATGCGCTCGTCTGAGCTCCAGTGAACAGTGCACGTCGGACAGTTTATCAGGGATGTACCGCTGGATCGCAGCACACTACAGTTGTTAAACGTGATATTCCGACATCCCAAGTTTCCCGGAAGTCCCCCCAAACTTTTCACATGAGGACGACGCCATCGTTCATCGTGATGTTTCACATTAGACATTGTACGATGCCAAATTGGTCGACATCGCCCAACTCTAGCGCACACATCCCCTCTCTTGCTTAAGCTCCACCCCCAATTAATCGATTACTTGTTGGTCAAATTTGTGGATTAATTGAAATGAAGAATGGTCAGAAATGCCCGTCCCTGTTTAGTAGTCAGAAATGTACATTCAGCACACTTAAGTAAACTTTCCAGGCCAACCAAAAACAAAGTTGAAAAGGAATGTGCTGCTAATTTAAATATGAGTTTTCATGATCAATGAGGACTGTTTCTTGTCACACTCACCGTACGTTCACACCGAAAGTGGCGAGAGCGTCAAAGTAGCCGGAAGTCATTCATTTTCAATGAGAGCCGGCGGCGATAAGTGGCGAGGAGCAGCGCGGCGCGTCTTCGCCGGCGTGAGCGTCGAGGAGAGTTGAAATTAAGTCAACTTTATGGTAATGAGCTATGACGCGGTTCGGCGGCAAGCAATCAGAATAAAGACGTCCATCGCTTGATAGCAGTTCAGAGAACACAGACCTGTGAACTTCCGACCACAGTTGTTCCCAAGGGTTTGATGATTGCGGTCGCCGGATTTCCAATTATTTACAATGTTTTCTTACAGGAACATGCATTAAAGAAGTTACTGGCGAGTTACTGACGTTCATTAATGTTATATAAATTTATCTTAAAAAAGCGTGAATCTCACGCGATGTGACAGTACAAAACAGTACTGCTGCTTCAGGATATTTCAGACATATGGACACATATTGGATAAATAGAGCAAAGCCACACCACACGCAACTTGATCTTCCATTGTTGTATGAATTTGATAAGAAGTGCGCAACATTTTCACATGTTTTACGCAGGAATGTAACTGACATGCTGCAACGGCTCCTTTAAATACGAGATCAATGTTGCGAGTTTTGACGCTCTCGCCACAGGAGCTGAAGGCAGACAGCGTTGTCGCCAGGGCGGCCAGAGCGACCTTGGACGCTCTCGCCGCTTTCGGTGTGAACGTACGGTCAGTTTGTCCCAATGTGTAGTAAACCAACCTCATCAGTGCCCGAATTCATGCACACAACTTACTGATCATACTTATGAACAACCTGGTATAAAATTCCATGAAAATATGCAGTTTCTTACCTTTCCTTCAGGTCTGATGGAGGAGACATGCCGTCATGTTAAAACAGAGGAGAAAACTGGCTCACTGAAGAGAAAAGACGAAACATGTTTGACCTGCACTCAGTTTGGACAGAGTCTGGGATGCCAACAGAGTCTCAGGAATCACATGACGATCCACACTGAAGAGAAACCGTTCACATGTGATCAATGCAGCAAAACCTTTTTGAGGGCTTCAGAGTTAAAGAGCCATCTTAGAGTTCACACAAAGGAGAAACCTTATTCCTGTTCTCTGTGTGGAAAGAGATTTACATGTCAGTCAAATTTAAAAGCACATCAGAAGATCCACACTGGTGTGAGAGAGTATGTGTGCTCTGAGTGTGAGAAGACTTTTATTACAGCTAGACAACTGAAAAGGCACCAGAGGAACCACACTGGAGAGAAACCGTTCTCATGTGTTCAGTGCGGGACGAGTTTTAAACATTCGTCAGACCTTAATAAACACATGTTGATCCACACTGGAGACAAAACACACAAATGTGATCAATGCAGCAAGACATTTTTGAGGGCTTCAGATCTGAAGGTCCATCTTAGAGTTCACACAAAGGAGAAACCTTATTCATGTTCATTGTGTGAAAAGAGATTTACATGTCAGTCAAGTTTAAAAGCACATCAGAAGATCCACACTGGTGTGAGAGAGTTTATGTGCTTTGCTTGTGAGAAGACTTTTATTACAACTGAACAACTGAAACGTCACCAAAGGATTCACACTGGAGAGAGACCGTACGTGTGTTCACAATGTGACAAGTCATTTAGTCTGTTAGGAAACCTGAATGCGCATCAGAGGATCCACACTGGAGAGAAACCATTTGTGTGTTCACACTGCGAAAAGAGATTCAGTCTGTTAGGAAACCTAAAAAAACATGAGATGATCCACACTGGAGAGAAACCGTTCACATGTGTTCAGTGTGGGAAGAGTTTCAGACAGTTATCAAATCTTAATCTACACATGTTGATTCACACTGGAGAGAAAAAACACACAAATGTCACTCAAATGTGATCAATGTGGCAAAAGTTTTTTTGAGGGCTTTAAGTCTTGAAGTTCCTCCATGCATTTGAGAATTCTAGGTTTCTATCAGGGAGGGTACACACCCCGGCACTGCAAGTCGGCGGCTGTCCACAGCACCCAGCCATGACTCACGACACTGTTCATATTTCTGCCGCACCACAGAGCAACATCTGAATAGTTTCACGTTAAATAACATTCGAAAGTGCGCGTCAGGTGTGTGATACTTTCACCTGTCATGTGGATGGTGCATCCGGTGCAAAGCCTTTTAGAATCCATACACTGTTAGACTTTGCAACAATTTTACTGTAACTTACTGCAAAAACGGGCAGTAAAATACTGCTTGCATTCTGTACAGTACAATACTGCAATGTGCACTGTATTATGGGTATTTTAGTACTTTTGCAGTAACTTCCTGTATATTAAGGATTTGCGGTATTCAACTGTAAGTAAAAGCAGTACTGCTACTGTAAAAAGATGATAGACTTTTGAATATTAGTGTTGATTTATTTCACAGGTTAAAGCTGTGACTTGCAGCATATAATATATATGTCCTAAAATAGTGTCAAGATATTTTACTCAACCAAATGTTGGCGTGGGATGATGATGGTTTTCAAGTTATACTGGAGTTTAGAAAAGTCAAGGTTATAATACCGCCAACATTTTCTGTAATACCGTTCCTAAGGTATGTTTTTAAGCAACAGTATCTCCAGCAGAAAAAATATACAAAGTTGTCATTTTTAAATTAAAACATCAGTGTTTTTTTGTAACTAATGTTATTAAGGAGAATGTCCTAATGTGTGAAAATACTTTACCTCAGTGCACAATTGTGTATAAAAAAGAAAAATCAAAAACAGCCAATTCAAAAAACGCCACTTTAGAGCTAGTATTTGAAGGATTCCCTTGCATAATGTGGAGTATTATTATGACTTAGTGATGACAAAACAGCTCACACATCAAGATTTATAAAGCTGAATGAACAGTCCTTCATTTCTTTGCTGCATCCGTGTATTCACTTACGTTATATTAAGCCTATAAAAGCTTAACCAAAGCAAACACTAACCAGATTACATTACAGACATCAAAATAAAAGAGAGAATTCGCCTTAGATGTGGCTTTAACTTACCTGTTCTGTAGTGAAATGTTGTTTTCATGTACGTTGAGGGAAATCGTTAAGTTAAAGACACAAAGACGTGTGTCAAATCACATAATTATGAACTATTATGCGACATTTTGGACTATAAATAGTCAGTAGTTCATTCACACCGAAAAATAAAAGCCCCAACATGATTAAGAGCACTTTAAATAGCCGAATAACACTTATTTATTCAACCGTTAAATAATAAGGGTGTAATTTTGAATACTGCATTACCTTAATGGTCAGTTTTGCACACGTCACGTCGAAGGGGCGGAGCTATCAGACACTGATGTTGGATTACTTCATTATTTTATTGTGAACGCAAAATTCCCCCACATAAGGGATTATGGGGCCTCCCGATGGTAAATGCGGGTGTACTCATGAAAAAGGTGGAAAACGGAGACTATAAAAATGAGAGAACTCTTAAAGAGGAGATGCAAAGAGGAAATCCGGATTTCACAATATATCATTAAAACATGTTTATTAAAATATGGTTTACATCCAGGGAGACAAATAAAGACAATTATAAGACAGTGCATAGAATTTAGGAAACCAGTCAGTCTCTTCACACTCCATCACAGTAGGGGGCGATATGCACATCGGTTTGCAACTCAACATAAAACCAAGAAGAAGAAGACGTTTAAAGTTTGCGTCTCTCGTATCCTCCGATCTGCATCGCAAACTCCACACCAACGAAATGACTTTTTAAAAGCCTTCATCTTCCAAGCATCAGAGAATCTCGCACAGCGAGAGAGAGTCCCACTAAACTCAGGTATGTTGTCTTGTGTTATGCTGCTTTTCCAGAAAGGTGTTTATAGTCTTGGTGGTTCTTAATAGTGTGGAGCTGAGTGAGTTTTGACATCATTTTATATAAATTCCTTTATTTCCTCGCTTTCTTCCTTTTTTCTGTTTTTGTTGTGATGTTTTGTACGTTTCTCTGTTTTATTTTTGATTAGTCAGTAAATCCCCTATATAATCACGCTGATTGTCTTTGTTTTGCCTCACAGAAAATGTCACTTTATAGAAGCGCGTTCCCGCCACTGATTAAATAATAAATACATACAATGTCAAAAATATCACAATTCGGACTTAAAAACTATTCTACATCTCAAGTAGTTATAATTCCCTTTCTTAGTAAATAAGTAATTACAGAGTCCGCTCAGACGAGCAGGAGAAGTCATTGTTGTATTTATTTATTTTGTTAAATTAGCTGCAAGTTAATTCTTTATATTCATAATTAATAATAACTTGTTATTATTAATCGTTAATATTCACAAATTGAGCTAATTTCGCTACACTAATATATTATAATTATAAATTATTATAGTGTGTTAGGCATTTTGTAATTAGCTTTGTGATGTTTAGGTGTACTAGCAATGCTTTCTGGAGTAAACTTATACTTGCCTAATAATATTTTCCAGATGCCAGTTTCATAAACAGTTCATGTCGTTTTGTGTGATGGTAAAATTCACTGTACGCAGATTCAGCTACATTTTATTGCGTTATTTCTGTGTTTGGGAAAACCTTGCTGATAAATCAATCACATGCAGAATTTCAATGATCTCTTACAGCAGTATTTTCTGATGTTCAGTAATAAATTACAGGGGTAGTTCACTCAAAAATTAAAATTGTCATCATTAACTTGCAACCGGCATGGCTTTCTTTGATGTTAAACCCAAAACAGTGTATTTTAAAGAAAGTAAGGTTTAATGTAAGTCAGTGGTTACAGGTTTCCAGCTTTCTTCAAAATATCTTCTTTTTTGTTTAACAGAATAAAGTAACTCATAAAGGCTTATAACCACTTGAGTAAATGTTGAATTTTGGGCTGAACTGTCCCTTTAAGCTGAAGATTGTCTGAAATTCTCTCTCCCTCTGAGTTTGTACCCCCCTTATTTGCCATTTAACTTTGAAGCAACAATTCATTCTGTATGTGTGTGTTTGTGTGTGTGTGTGTGTGTGTGTTTTAAGATGAACAACTAGGTCACACCAGGTCAGACTGGAAAGATCCGACTGCATCTCTTGACTTCTCGCCTTTATTCTTCATATTTTGGGTCTGTTTCAGAGTTAAACAGGTATGTTGCTTTCCTTCATTATTAGCTCATATTCCTGCTGTTTCGATATTCAAGTGTATTTTCATTTTCTGTGTTGTGTGTCATTTTAGTTAGCAGCACATTCCTTTTCAAGTTTACTTAAGTGTGCTGTATGTTCATTTCTGACTCTATAAAGCACGAAACACCATAGTATGTTTGCAAATGTTTAAGAGACGTCCAAAGTTAAAGGAAGTGAATATTATTTTGTATCCTGTCATATTTGCCATGCAAAGAATAATGCAAAGTTAAATATGTGTGTGTGTGCGCAAACTTGTGTGTGTAACGACATTGTGTGACTCATCATTGCAGAAAGGCTTGAATTAACTACACAACAAATATATCAAATAGCCGTTGGGAAAGTTCTTACTGTAGTAAGGGAGATCTGCTTCATTCTTGTCTGTCACTGTGCTGCTTATCTACGTAAGATGCAGCAAGAGAAGGCTACAGGCATCTGAGCAATAGTGAGAGACGGGAAATGGGGATGGTGGGCGGGGAGAAGTAGCTCATTTGCATTAAAGGCACAGGCAACAAAAACAGTGACTGTCAAATTTCCCACATTCATAAAGATATAAATAATCTGATGGGAATTTTGAGCTTAAACTTTACAGATACATTCAGGAGACACAAAAGACTTTAAAAAAGACTCAATCTTGGTAAAAGAGGTAAAATAGGAGCCCCTTAAAAGTAATGATTGTAGTGTTAGTGTACTTTGCTCATAGAATGAAACTAAAATAGCACCAAATTGATCATCATTTATTGATGTTTCATGTAAAATGCAGTTTCTTTCTTTTATTTCAGGCCTGATGGAGGAGAAAAAAGAGAAAACTGGCTCACTGAAGAGAAAAGACAAAACATGTTTGACCTGCACTCAGTGTGGAAAGAGTTTGGGCTGCCAAAAGAGTCTCAGGATTCACATGATGATGCACACTGGAGAGAAACCGTTCACATGTGCTCAGTGCGGGACGAGTTTCAGACAAACATCAGCCCTTAATCAGCATATGAAGATTCACACTGGAGAGAAACCATTCACATGTGTTCAGTGTGGGACAAGTTTCAGACAATCGTCAGCACTTAATAAACACATAAAGATCCACACTGGAGAGAAACCTTTTACATGTGTCCAGTGCGGGAAGAGTTTCAGACAATCGTCAAACCTTTATAAACACATGTTGATACACACTGGAGAGAAACAGTTCTCATGTGCTCAGTGCGGGACGAGTTTCTTGCAATCATCACACCTTAATCAACACATGTTGATCCACACTGGAGAGAAACCGTTCACATGTGCTCAGTGCGGGACGAGTTTTAGACAATTGTCAGCCCTTAATGACCACATAAAGATTCACACTGGAGAGAAACCGTTCACATGTGCTCAGTGCGGGACGAGTTTCAGACATTCATCAGCCCTTAATGATCACATGAAGATTCACACTGGAGAGAAAACACACGAATGTAATCAGTGCAGCAAAACATTTTTGAGGGCTTCAAATCTGAAGAGACATCTTAGAGTTCACACAAAGGAGAAACCTTATTCATGTTCATTGTGTGGGAAGAGATTTATATGTCAGTCAAGTTTAAAAACCCATCAGAAGATCCACACTGGTGTGAGAGAGTATGTGTGCTTCGCGTGTGAGAAGACTTTTATTACAGCAGAACAACTGAAACTGCACCAGAGGATTCACACTGGAGAGAAACCTTATGTGTGTTCACACTGCGGCAAGACATTCAGTCTGTTAGGAACCCTAAAAAAACATCAGAGGATTCACACTGAAGAGAAACATTAAAAAGTTTCGCAAAATCGCCTCAGTTTAAAAAAAACACATGAAGATCCACTCTAAAAAGAACCCAAATAAAAATAATAAATTAATGAAAATAAACCAATGTTTATTTGTTTTACAATCTTGACGTATATGTGTACAATATCAGCAGCAGTTTTATACTATTACAACATTATTGTATCCAATATTTGTACACTCACCAGCCACTTTATTTGATAGACGGGTTCAACAAGGTACTGGAAATATTCCTTAAGATTTTGTTCCATATTGGTGCATTATCCTGCTGGAAGTAGTCATCAGAAGATGGGTACACTGTGCTCATAAAGGGATAGACATGGTCTGCAACAATACTCAGGTAGACTGTGGCGTTGACATGATGCTCAATTGGTACTAATGGGCCCAAAGTGTGCCAAGAAAATATCCCTCACACCATTACACCACCAACCTGAACCATTGACTCAAGGCAGGATGGATCCATGCTTTTTATGTTGTTGGCAACATTTCTTCAATCTTCTATTGTCCAGTTTTGGGTGAGCCTGTGTGAATTGTAGCCTCAGTTTACATTGAGTTGCTGATTAGAAATTTTGCATTAACGAGCAGTGGGACAGGTGTACCTAATAAAGTGGCCGGTGATTGAATAGGTTAACATTATTAAAGTGTGAAGAAGACATTATATGTACTGAATGCTAAGATGGAATAAAATGTGTCAATTACAGCATTTCCTGCTTGCGCTTTCTGTCATATCAGAGTGATACAAACACAACAAGTGTCTTATTTTAATATTTCCTGACGTAATAATATGATTAAAATCTCAGTGATTTTTGTGACCCACAGTGCCGATATAAAGTCGTATTGCAGTGCTACATGTGTAATGTTGTTTATATAACAGTTTAACAGCATAATCATGGTAAAGTTGGTTTTAGATGAGCACATTTGTTTATTGTAACGCTCCCGTATTGTTAACCCAGTTAATTTGAATGTTGGGTCTGAAATGCATTTCATTATGACTTAAAACTTGTACTTTATAATCATTAGCTGCTGGTATGATTGTTTGATTCAGAATTTGCAAATAATTCTTTTCTGAGATTATATTATTAAGGCGAATGTCCGAATGTGTGATAATACTTTACCTCAGTGCACAATCGTATATAAAAAAGAAAATCAAACACAGCCAATTAAAAAAACGCCACTTTAGAGCTAGTATTTGAAGGATTCCCTTGCATAATGTGGAGTATTATCATGTCTTAGTGATGACAAAACAGCTCACACATCAAGATTTATAAAGCTGAATAAACAGTCCTTCATTTCTCTGCCGCATCCGTGTATTCACTTACGTTATATTAAGCCCATAAAAGCTTAACCAAAGCAAACGCTAACCAGATTACATTACAGACATCAATATAAAAGAGAGAATTCGCCTTAGATGTGGCTTTAACTTACCTGTTCTGTAGTGATTTGTTGTTTTCATGTCCGTTGAGGGAAATCGTTCAGTTAAAGACACAAAGACGTGTGTCAAATCACATAATTATGAACTATTATGCGAGATTTTGGACTATAAATAGTCAGTAGTTCATTCACACCGAAAAATAAAGCACTAACATGATTAAGAGCACTTTAAATAGCCGAATAACACACTTATTTATTCAACCGTTAAATAATAAGGGTGTAATTTTGAACACTTTTTTTTTTTTTTTTTTTTTTTTATTGCTTCAAGAAACTGTATAATACAATTTAGAATATAGTAAAAGATAACAGTTCTTTTACACAACAATCACATTACATACACAAGATAAGAGTAAAACTAAAACACAGTACATAAAAAAAATAAAATAAAAATAAAAAAAGACAGTATAATAAAAAAAGAAATAAATATTCAAGTAGCATGAAAGATCTCATCATATTTGCTCAAGAAAGAAGTACATTTCTTATTTTCAATTAATCTAAGAGATTTAATTAAATGTTCTATTTCACATAAGAAGTCAATAAAGATTGGATTTTTTTTAAGAAACCTCTGTTTGTGAAAATAAAATTTCCCAGCAAGTATAAGAAAGTTCACAGTGGCTTCTAACGCCTTGTTTTGGTTTTCAAAATAGCAAATAACATCCTTAAGGTACAAATTACCACTTATATTAACCTTGGAGAAACAGTATGAGCTTAAATCATCCCAAAACAGTGATGATACATCGCAAGAAAAAAATAAGTGACAAATGTCTTCACTCTCATTCTTACAAAATGTGCAAATATCAGTAACATCACAATATTTGGATAAAAGTGCATTACATGGGTGAACCTCTTTCATTTTATTAGGAATACAGAATTTATATGGTAATAACCATGTTTTCCTCCATTGAATATTAACAATTATGGATCCCCAAAAAAACTTTCCTCTAGGAGTGATTGCGTTATGTGACTGGGACACTTGACGTATAAACTTATTATTGCATTCTTTACTAAGAATAGATTTTCCTCCTAGGAGTAACTGTGACAATTGTTTGGTACCTGCCTCATAACTAAGAGCAGCTTTCATCAGACATAATAATCCACTAGGTATAGCCTTTATAATTGACTTGAATTCCATATAGCGAATAGGGAATTGATACATGTTTATAAAACTCTCATAAGTTAAAAGATCACCGTTACTGTTAAAAAGATCAGAAACAAAAATAATGTTTTTGTTAAACCATTTATCCCAGAAAAAAGATTTATTATTTATCTTAATGTCACCATTATTCCATAGAATGGTTTTGTGGGGTGAGAAGTTGTGGCTGTAAGTCAGTTTCCAGGCTAAAAGAGCTTGTTGATGGAATTGAGCTAATTTAATAGGTAATTTACCAATGGAGTAATTGCACTTCATTAAAAAAGAAAGGCCACCAATCTTTTTAAATATATTGTTTGGAATAAAATACCACATAGAGTCTGAACCAAGCAAACATTTCTTTAGCCAATTGATTTTAAAAGTATTATTGGTGTCATCAAAATTTAGGACTTCAAGACCCCCCTCACTCCTTTTATTTGATAATAAATGTTTCTTCAATTTGTGAGGCTTATTATTCCAAATAAAATCAAGAAAAATTTTGTCAATTTTTTTAGAGGTCTGATTATCTACTGCTAAAGATAATGAGGGGTATACAAATCTAGATAACCCATCTGTTTTGGTTAAGAAGACTCTGCCTAGAATTGATAAATCTCTTTGGAGCCAACTAT